TTGCAGCCTCTGTCTGTCCGCATTCTCTCACTTATCATGGCCTGCCTGTCCTTGTCCCGAGGGGGCCTGCTGAAGCCTGGAGGGTATTTTTAGCACCTAGCGTATCAGATTCTGACTTGTGTCTTCCCTCACTTCTTTTCTGGGGCTGAGTCTAGGGAAGGAGTAGTCATTGCTGGCTACCTGCTGGTGACCTCCCTGCCTCCTCAGTCCTCCAGGATGTTTGCAGGGTGATCTAAGGTGCTGCCATCCCTTTAATGACCACTGGGAAAAAGGCTGATAAAAATGTCTTCTAGACTTCTTGTCTTTAGTTTTGCCACCCTGGTTACAGTGTCATGGAAAGCGTTGGACTTTGGAGCCTTGCTCAGATGTGGAGCACGTGGCAAAGCTGTCGCTAAAACAGGGAAATGTCCAAAGCCCTCCTGCCTTTCAGAACTGTGGCCCACAGGCTGTGCGTGGTATGTGTTGCTGAGGACAGCCATGAGCATGGCCCAACACAAAATTGTAAATTTATTTACAGCATCATGAGATCTTCGTGTGTGTGTTTCTGTTTCTCAAACATGAACTTTGTAAATGATAACATCTTGTGGTGCCAAGAGGCTGTTCTTGCCTGGCCTTGAGGCCTCAGTAATCCTCCTGTGGTTCTGAATTAGGTTGCAGCAGCTATGGAAATCAAGCCTGTGTGCATTCATACATGAGATGGATTGCCAGTCCTGGGCCAGGGTCTCAGGCAGGATACACTCTTCTCTAAAGCCACGCTTTACCAAACAGGATGAGTAAATGTTAAATGTTCTCTTGAATTTGCTTTTCATCGCTGCTTAGGCTGCACAGTTATTTCATTTAAAGTAATTATATTATGACTCTTTAAGCATTTAATCAATTGTGTATGTGGTGTGTATGTACATACCTATACATGGCAAAGGGCATGATTGAAAGTGAGAGGCAAGCCTCTGGGATCAGTTCTCTCTCCATCCACCACGTGGGCCCTGGGTATTGAGCTCAAGTTCTCAAGCTTGGTAGCAGTCCCTTTCTTGCTGAGCCATCCCACCTGCCAGTGAGCTCTACTCTCCACCTCTTACCCACTCTTTGCTCATCTTTCCTAAAGGTGGTCCCACTTGGCAGTACTTTTTACATTTGAAATCATGGCCAGATAGGAGTAGGAGCAAGCAGAAAAGAAGCTGGCTAGCACTAGACAGATTACCCTGAGGACACCATGGGGCAGTCAGGTGGCAGCTTACTCGATCTTGGGGTATGATGATTGCAGGTCAGGGAAGCCAGGGAGAAGGGAAGACCAATTCCTGATGGTGGAGCTTCCATTAGAGAAGAACACTTGTACTTGGTCCTGGAAGGGATTGGTTGGTTGATTGAGTGGAGGAGGCACTCAGGGGAAGTGGGAAGCCAAGTGGGGAAAGGGCAGTGCTGTAGGGGAGTAGCTCGGCCTGGCCTGAGACTGCAGTGAGAGCTTAGAAAATTAGCTCAGGGCTGGTTTGGTGGTTCAGCAGCTAAGGTGCTTGCTGCCAGCCCGACAACCTGGGTGAGTTCCAATCCCTGGCCCCACACGGTGGAGGGAGAGAACCAGCTCCTCACAAATTGTCCTCTGAACGTAACACCTTGCGATAAGTGTATAAATGTAATAAAATTAAAAAGACAAAGTTCTGCCAATGTATTGACATTCCACAGGTAGAAGAGATGTGAAATGAATCTAGAACTACTTGGTTGAGAGAAAAAGGAGCTGAGGCCTAAAGAGACAGTTAACTTCCTTTCCAAATGCTGTAGCACAAAGCCTGACAAAGGAGGGGATTTTCTGAACCCGCAGTGACACTGGCATTGACAGAGAAGACTTAGAAACCAACACCTGTGTGAACCAGACCCCAGGGTAAAGTGCAGTGTAAGTGAAATTTGTCTAGTGTGTTTCTTTGCTTAGCGTGATCCACATAAATAATAGAAGAGTTTGGGACAGCTCCAGTGTAGAAAACTTTCCACATTATATTGATCTGAAAATGTTCAGGGAAATGTTCCACTAGGCTTGTTAATAATTCTCCTCCTCCTCCTCCTATTCTTACCTTTTTTTTTTTTTTAAAAATTCTGAGACAGGGTTTCTCTGTGTAGCCCTAGCTGTTCTAGAACTCACTCTGTAGACCAGGCTGGCCTCAAACACAGAGATCCTTCTGCCTCCGCTGCCTGAATGATTAAAGGTGTGCACTAACACCCAGCTTCTTCTGTTTTTAATGTCTAGTCTCGTGTGTTGTTGGGATTGTTCTTGCTGAATGAGTGCGTGTGTGTGTGTGTGTGTGTGTGTTTGTGTGTGTGTGGATTCCTGACAAGTAGAATATAGGAAAAGGTGTGGAAGCTTGAATTGGTGAAGGATCAGACCTCCTGGGCTGTGTGCACTTTATTTCAAAATCACTCCCTTTGGGAAGAACTTTTACCTTTCAGCACGTGAGCTGGTGGGCGTTGTCAGCCCTGAGCCGCCTGCCCGCCCTGCTCCTGAGCTGAGTCCAGCCCTTTGCTGTAAGAGCTTACAGAGAAGGCGGGGACCCTAGTCTTAGGAGGACCTGATGTCTGGGCCAGAGGCTGTCTCTCTTTCACTGTGGATGTTCAGTTTATGTGAGGGACAAACATCTCATCCTGAAATAGACCACAGAACACGTCTGGTGTTAAGCTCTGTTTCTCGAAAGTTGTAGGCTTCCTAATGAAATCAGCCTGATCTTTGGCTTTGTGCCTGATACCCGCAGACTGTTGGAGATGGGCTAGTTGGAAGACTGATGGTCTTTCGTGGGAGGGAGATTGAGCATGTCCTCTAGATCTCATTGTTGTTTTTGTTTGTTTCCCTTCACACCATGGCTATATAGAGCCGGGCACCGTGGCTCCTTCACACCATGGCATAGAGCCGGGCACCGTGGCTCCTTCACCCCGTGGCATAGAGCCAGGCACTGTGGCTCCTTCACCCCATGGCATAGAGCCGGGCACCGTGGCTCCTTCACCCCTGGCATAGAGCCGGGCATGGTGTCGGAACCTGTAGTCTCGGTTGTTCAAGAGTCTGAGGTGAGAGGTGTGCCACTGTCAATTAATTTTTAATTGTCAACCAGCCAGTGATGAATGAATTCACATCCTCTTTCCAAGTCCTGGGACTTGCCCTGTTGGGCCGAGTGTTCTCGTGCCAGGAGTTGTATGAGATCTGCACTCTGTGCTGAAGTACACAGGAAGGGAAGGCGGGTCTGGAGAGAGAGGTGTGCGGTCAGTGAGTCACCTTCCTCCCTGGATCCTAATCCTGATTTCTGAGTGATCAAGGAAGATGGATTCTAGAGGTCAAATACAGAGTGCACCTTTATTGTTTTTCTTTAACTTGTATCGCGAAAAATTCGAAATATACTCTAAGTGGAGAGAATGTCATAATCTGCATATAGTTATCACCTGGTTTCATGTTAGTTTTCTTAGGATACCTGCTAGGGAAAGGTCTGCCCTGTTGTGGTAGCGATAACCATGGACCTGATGCCCTCTCAGGTGAGGATTCCCTCCTCACCCTGCGGAGAAAACCAGACAGTCTGCCTTCCTCCCTGGCAGCCGCTCCTAGAGGAGCTGAATCGATGTGTTTCAGGTTTAACACATTAAGGGCTTGGGAGAGAGCTCATTTGGGCACGCTTGAGGATCCAAGCTTGGTCCCCCAGACGCACATATACAATCCGGGTGTGGTGGTACACACGTGTAATCTCAGTGCTGGGGAGCAGGAGACAGGCGGGCGGCTGTGACTCAGTGGCCAGCTGGCCTAACCTACTCCATCAGCCTCAACCCAGTGAGAGCCCGTTGTCTTTAGGGAAGTGGACAACACTTGTCTTAGTCAGTGTTCTGTTGCTAAGAGACACCATGATCCCAGCAACTCTTATGAAGGAAAGTATTTAATTGGGGCTGGCTCACAGTTCAGAGGTTTGTCATCCTGGTGGACATGTGCTGGAGAAGGAGCTGAGAGTTCTACATCTGTGTCAGAGGCAACAGGAAGAGAGAGGTGCTGGGCCTGGCTTGAGTATTTGAAACCTCAAAGCCCACTCCAGTGATACAATTCCTCCAAACAAGGTCACAGCTACACCTCCTAACAGTGCCACTCCCTAGTGACCAAGTATTCAAATATGTGAGTGTGTGGGGCCATTCCTATTCAGACCACCACAGCGCCTGAAGAATAGTGCCTGGATTTTCCTCTGGCCACCACAGCCACAGCGGCACACACCAAGTCTTTTCAGATACTAGGAGTCCCAGTACAATCTTTCCTCCACTTTGGCAAGCTTGTGTGTACGTGTCTGTGATGTGTGGCGTATGCATGTGGGTGTGGGGTGGGTGCAAATGCAGAGACAGAGCAAGGCATTTGGTGTCCTTATTACGTTCGCCTTCCTGTTGTGTCAAATTGCACAGTTATATATGCGTGTAAGTTTCATAGTACAGACATGTGTGATGTCCAGGACGAAAAGTTGCTTTCACACTGCACACAGCCCGTGTATGGGAGGTTTGTAGAGTCATTCTCTCTGCCGTGTTCTTCAGCTTCACCTCCTGCTCAGGCTTCTTTCCATGTTAAGTATCTGCCGCTCTTGAGTGGTTCTTCAGTAGCTGCATCATAGCTTTGATAGTGAGGTGATGTTATCTGTTCTGTTCGACATATGCATGTGTGTATATATATTTAATTATTTTATTTTATTTGTTTTGTATGTGCATACACACATGAGTGCATATATGTGTGTCGGCACAAGTATTGTGGTCAGAGGACAGCTTGTTGAAGTCACATTTCCTCCTTCCACTGTGTGGGTCCTAGGGATGGAACTCAGGTTCCCACACTTGTCATCAGGCGCCGTTACCAGCTGAGTCATCTCTCTGGTACTTGTCCTGTTATATTTTAATTAACCCCTTCCTTTAAAATGATTAAAAAATTACTGTATATATTTAATTGAGCATCTAACGTGGGCAGAGTACATTTGTGATAATAAAAACCACAAAGGACTTGATACAGCATTGCTGATTGTCTGCTGGTTTTATTGCGCTGCTTCTGTGTTTTGTTGATAACTGTCTTCTCTTGAATCCACTCAGGAACAGCAGGTCAGTAAATTATTAGTGGTGATGATGATGATGATGATTCTAACTGCCTCACTGAAACAAATGCGCTGTTAGAAAACTCACTCTTTTCTGTAGCATGCAGCTCATTGACATTTGCATATTAACAGTTCTAGAAGCAACACTGTCTAACTAAAAATTACTAACTTTATTTATTTTGTGTGTTTGGATGTGCACACATGCCACAGCACAACTTGCGGAAATTCATCCTTTCTCTCTACCTTGTGGGTCCTGAGGAATTGACAGCTCGTCAGGCTCGACTCTAAGTGCCTTTACCTGCTGGGCCACCATTATCTAACCTTAAAGATCTTCATTTTCCAAGGAAGGAACTCCCTAGTCATGAGCAGCCATGAGTGCCTGGCAGTGGCGCCCGTCAGCCAGCCACATTTCGTCCCTGAGCGTTTTCTGTCGCTGTCCCAAATATTTCACGAGCTCCATCTAGCAGGTGTCCTTTTGTGCTTAGTTCACGTCACAGGCAGGTACTGTTCTCAGGCTGTTTTATTCATGTTGTGATATGAATTCAGCTTATTGCATTTCAGTATTCCCAATACTCACCGTGGAGACGTGCCGTGTTTTGTTACTCACTGTACTCGTGGGCTGACTGCTGACTGCTGTGAACAGCCGTGTTTCGAGTACTTGTGTGTTGTTTTGCAGACAAACTTTTCTCTTCTCTTGAGTGTTTCTTTAGGAGTGGAATAGCTAGGACAAAATTTCCCTGATGTTTAATGCTGGCAGATTACGAGACTGCGCCTGTCACAGTCCCACTAGCGGTCTATATGGGTTCCCGTTTTCCCATGTGCTTGCCCACGGCTGCCATCATCTCTGAGTTTTATCATCTGGATTTCCTGAGATTGTGCATTCTACTCTTTTGTCTTGGCCCACCCATGTGGGTTACAAATCTCACGAGAGATACCTAGCCCACCTCTACCAGGGTGACCTGGATCTAAAATCTTTGAGTTAACTAAGGCACAGCATTTTAGTGCTGCCTGCAGTGAAACTAGGTTGCTGATGCCTGCAGTTCAATGGATTAATTTTTCCATAGAAAATTTTTAGGGTGCACAGGCCAAATTGCAAACTTCAGTTTCTAAAGTTCAGGTCTTAGGACATCTTTGGGGGTCTATCTTGTCTTCTACCTTGTTTGAGTTTCATCATCTGAGAACTCCAGATTGCTTGGCTCCTCAGATTCTGGGAATTTTCCATTCTCTGCCTCCCTCCTGTCTTGCTCTGAGATTTTTCATAGTTTAACCTGTGAGAGCCCCAGGAGTGTGTCACCACGGCTGTCCCTTTCTTCTGGTCAGAGTGAGATGCTTCCTGGGACTTTTAGAGAACTTCCTTGACTTTCTGTAAGGTGGTGCAGCAGTGCTGTGTGCTTGATGGGGCCTTTACCAGCCAGATTAGTGGGGTCACTGGAATAGAGAACTGGGTTGTATGGACTTTTTAATCTCTTTTTTTGAAGTTACTCTATCTTGCAAATGTTCTATACTTGTACATTTGCACAGCAGTAGGTCATATGTTTCATGAGTACATGTTAGGAGTTCTAAGGACACGTGATCGGAACTGTTAGAGGCTGCTGATTTAAACTGTTAACCACATTGAGACACGAGTAGAATGCCGTAGGTCCGTCATAAACTCTGAGGAGGCCATAGGTGGAAGCCCAAGGCTGCTATTGCCAGTTCAGTGTAGACCACAGAATGGGATGAACAGGGGAGCTCCAGCCAGAGAGCTCATAGAGCCCTGACGGCCACTGTAGCTCTGTAGTCAAGGGACCGAAGGTGGCTTACCTGTCATCATTTGCCGGCAGAACTAGAGTCTGGATGTAGATCTAGTGCCGGTTTCTCACACAAGAGCCCGGCTCATCATGCCTTGGTCCTATAAGGAGTGCAGAAGCCATGGGAGAGATACTTACATGGTGAAGACATGGTGCTCAGGCCTGGGCTCTGAGTTCAGTCTTGTAACCCCACAGAGACAGAAGGAGAGGACTGAGTCCACAAAGTTGTCCTTTGTCCTCCGTGCCTGTGCCCCTCCCCCATCGTGCATAATGGAGGGAGGGGCCATGGGAGGAGTTGGAGGAAGGACGGGGGGAAGTGATGAAATTATACTTTGATGAATGAAATATGGACAGAAGGATATACGTCAGAAAGAATTCATATTTAACTTGACTTCAGATTCAAGAGAGAGAGGTTTTTCCAAGGGGACAACAAGCGAATTCATTCATCTCTTGAGTGGATTAGGTTCTAGACAATGAGTAACTAGGTGCAAATTTCTATGTTTGTGGAGCTTGTGTTCTGTTTGGAGGGAGAATCAATTTGCAAGTCACCTGAATACATTTTGCAGGACTTTGGAAAACTGTGTTTACCACAAGAGAGCAGAGCACTGTGGGAGTCTAGAAGCCAGCTTTCTGTCTAGGGTGGTGTCTGTGCAGCCTCTCAGGATTGGGTCTGTACATAGGTCTTGCTCTTCACCCCTAGTTCACTTCCTGACCCCTGAACCTGCTGCTTTCTTCAGCAGCCAGAGTCATTCCCTGGTCCATTGCCAGAAAGGCTGGAGAATTCTTTTAAGCCTAGTAATAGCTTTCACCTTAAAAAAAATTGAGATACCTAAAATTTAGCACATGTATAGTTCATTTATTCTTACAGATTTGTAGAGCTAGCACCACAATCCTGGTTTAGGACATTCTCCGTCCCCCCTAAGATCCTTTATGCCTGTTTATGGTTATTCTCCATCTGAACCACAGCCCCAGGAAACCATTTGTCTCCTTTCTGTTTCTGGAAGTTTCTCGTGAGCAGACTCATCCAGCATGCAGTCCTTGGCATTGTGTTTTTTCACTGAGCCTCATATTTCTAAGTGCCCCCGAGGTGACGTGTGTGTAGATGCGCAGTTTTGTTTATCTCGTTAGTGCTGTGACTCTTAGAACAGATTAGTGTTTTAAATCTGCCTCCATTCCTGCGTGGTGATGGGGGCCTAGCTCTTAAGCGCTGCCCTGCTGTTATGGCTGCCCCATGCCCCTTCCATGGCCTGCCTTGTTTCTCCTTGCTCACTTAAGTTTGTAGCCAGCTGTGCTGCTGGGTAGCCAGAGTCTTCGATGGCCATTGAAAGTTACATTAAGCAACATTTCCGAAATAAAAACTTCTGGTTCCCATTCGCACAATTTATTGTGTGTGTGTGTGTGTGCGTGTGCGTGTGTGTGTGTGTGTGCGCGCGCGCGCGCGCGCACGCACGTGCGTGTGTGCCTGCGTGCATGTATGTGTGCCTGCGTGCATGTATGTGTATGAGTGTGTGCACATATGCATATGGCAGCCAGATATCAACCCTCAGGTCTCATCCCTCAGAATCTGGACACCTTGTATACCTTGTTCCTTTTTTTTTGGGACAGGGTCTCTCACTGGGACCAGGTCTCACCAATGAGGCTAGGCTGACTGACCAAGGGCCCCAGTTATCTGCCTGTCTCCGCCTCTCCTGCACTAGGATAGCAAAGCTGTGCCAGCAAACCGCAGCCAGAGGGCGCTGGTGAGCAGAGACCATCGTCCTTGTGTGACAGGAGCTGCAGCTGTCACTTCAGCCCCTGCTTGTGGCCACCATTACTGCACTGAACTAGGTTGTCGCAGAATACTTGATGTTATTGATGCGCTGTACTGGGCAGGTCTGACTTCTAAATACAGCTTCCGAAGTCTGCCTCACAGTACAGTTTCACCTTTTGTGACTGTTGCCTCCTGGAAAAAGAAGGGGTTCGACCGTGTAGTGTCCTAAGTCCCTTTCTAATAGTTACATCTCCGTATGGGGCAGCACCCGGCAATAAGCATCTCCAGATGGTGTCCAGACAAGGATTCAAGAGTCAGCACAGTGGTGTGGCCATGAATGTCCAGGAGCTCCTTAGGTGACCGCTCTGTAGGACAGCTCTGCCGGACCAGTGCTCACAGCGTGCATGCATGGAGCTGACTCCTGATGCTTCCAGACTCAGTCTTTCCTCCTGCATTTGTATTGTGCTCTTAATCTTGGAATCGGAAGTGAGTGCAGTAGAGAGTGCTAATTAGTTTCTCTTTAGCTGATATCAGGCTCCAGCTGAACAATGGAAGCAACAACTAAACAGCGTGGAGATATCAGCAGCGTGTACCCTGACTCTCAACGATCGCCACTGCGTTCTGTGCCAGTGTAGAAGGAGAGCATTTTTATACCTATAGATATCCTAATAGACATTGGTGCTGAGACATATAGCACACTTGTGGACATGTGTGTCCTAGGAGATGGCAGCACACGTGTGTGTGTGTGTGTGTCTGTGTGTCTGTGTGTGTGTGTGCTCCAATGCATGTGGAGCCAGAGGTCAGATGTCTTCATCAGTCCTTCTCTACTTTTATTTTTATTATTTAATTTTATTTATGAATTTAATTTACTTGTTTATTTTCAAAGTAGTGCCTCTCTATGTAGTCCTGGCTATGTAGACCAAGCTGTCCTCAAACTCAATAGATCACCTGCCTCTGCTGGGGTTAAGGGCATGTACAGTCACCATGCCTAGCTTGATTTGATGTCTTGAGATGCTGTCTCACTGATAACATAGTCTGCTAGACTACATGGTCAGCAAGACCTGGGGATTCCCCCGTCCCTGCCTCCCCAGCATGAGGATTACAGGCACCACATCTGATACTTCTGTGGGTTCTGGGGATGGATATTGGGTCCTCACACTTGTTTGCAAGCACTTTACGAACCCAGCCCTCTTCCTGGCCCTGATGAAGGGGCGGGCATCCTTATGGGTACCTACTGTGTACCAGGCATATTGATAAAGCTTGCTAGCCTTTCTGTGTGCTCTGTAGAGTGGATGTATAGTTAGGTGGTGCTTTTCACACTTGGAAATGGGATGGCTGGCAGTGGACAGTGAATGAAACCTGGTGTACCCTGTCCCTCATAAGTCTAGGCTTAGGGAGCCTGTGTACTTTTTCAGGACCTGGCGTTATCAGGGCACCAAAGAGATTCACATGACTTTGGAGGTCACCTGGTGTTGGCTGGGAGGTGTTGTGACTTGCCCAAACCTGAAAGCACTGGGCCTGTGTAGAATGTGGTGGAGCTGCACTGAAAACAGTCTCGGCAGAGTTTGTAAACATCATGGCCTTGATGATCCACGGGTTTGCCCTGCTTTGCTTCTCTCGCAATGCCTTATGATGAGAGTCAAGTAGGTCCAGTTCACAGCCTAGGCCTGTGAAGTCTATGGTTATCTGGCTCGGAAAATCTCCTACCCCAGGATCATGGGGTTGTTGCTGACATGTGTTACTTGTGCCTGGCGGGTTGCAGGAGCCATTCTCTTTTTATCCTCTCTAGGTACCGCACTGACCCAAGGGCGTTTATGTAAAACAGCACCATTCCCACTCCTCTTCCGTGGTGCTCCAAATGCTTGCGCTCTTTCCTGGCTGTTGGTGAATTCTGTTTGTTATCAACCAGTCTGTGTGTGAACCAGTGGCTCCTGCCTTTGTTCCTCCTGTTCTGCTTCCCAGTAGGTGTACTGAGTGTCTTGCCATTTGTATTTCTACATATATTCCCCAGGCTATGAAGTCCTTGCTGAAGGGGAGGCCAGGTGTGGAGCTATGGCCCTGTAACCCCAATTCTTTTCTCTTGGGCATATCCGAATTATCAGTGTCACTCTTGTGCTTTGGGAGCAGTTTTCAGTAACTACGGGCTTCCTTAGCATGCTCACACCTGCCAGCTGACCAGCTGGTATGACCGCCCAGTGAGTCAGAGAGGGCGTCATTGGATACTGGATGCCAGAGGGGTGATTCGCATTCTGAGTGGGACTCAGCAGTGTAGTGTGAGGTTTTATTGTGCTGCTCAGAACGGCGCACAATTTAAATTGTATAAATTCTTTATTTGGGGAATTTATTACGGGATAAGGAGTGTGGCTGACGTTGCTCCCTCGTTAGGACTGCAATCTTGGTATAAGACCATGTGTGAGCACCCACTCACCAGCTATCATGCCTGGAGAAACGATGCCACAGATGCTGACCCTCACCCGTCGTTACCTCCTTCGCGTTTATGTCCAGGAGTAGAATTGCTAGTTAAGTTTTATTTAATTTTTTGAAGACAGTTCCCACACTGACACTGAGTTACACTCCCACCAGCAGTGTAGAGTTCTTATTGGCACGGTCCCTTCTTCCCTTCCCTCCTCATCCCTCTCCCCCTTCCTTTGTAGTAGCCTCCTAGTGAGTCAGCTGTTGCTTTCCCCGCTGGGGCTCGGCTGTCTGAGCATCTGTGTGCTCTGTGCCTCTGCTGTGCACCTGTGTGTGCTTCAGACTCCTCTAACCCATTGCCTCCTTAGGCTGTATTTTGGATCTATCCCCGACTTCCCTCTTGTTTCTCTTGCTCTGTGTACAGTGCACTTTAAACAGAGCCATTCATTGACTCTTAATTTGGTCTCTTCATTATTTGGTTCTTTCAAACAAACAAACAAACAAAAAAAACAAAACAAGCAAACAAACAAAAAAAAACCCCAACAACTTTAGAATGCCATTTTCCTCTTCCCAGGCAAATAAAGATGCTATAAAAAGTTATTCTCAGTGTCTGGGTGCCCTTTCCCAGGGGATGATAGCCCTACGAGAAGGGGGACCAGTTGGTACAGGTTATCTGTACATTTTCATCTCCTAACCTGGTGGTCAAATTAGATCTTTACCTTTTCCTTAGGGAAAATTGTTGCTTCCTCTCCCTGGAATTCTATCCCCCCACCCCACTTGGGAATTCTATCAGGATACTTATTATATTTCGTTTCCCTCTCTCTTCCCTGTGCAATTTCTCAGATAGCCTTGGTTTTGATCTTAACAGTGGAGCACTGGTGGTGTTTTGACTTTCCCTCATGTTTTCCTTGGGACCTCTCCTGGCTCATAGGCTTTGGAGAGACTGGAGGTGAAGTGTATAGTCCATTATATTACGTTTACATCACCAGCATGACTTAGCGTTGTTCATGCTGACCTTGGTCACCTGGATGAGGTGGTTTATCAGGTTTGTATACTTTTCTCCTTTAGTAGGGAAACTTAATGTCGTGGCCCAAAAGTAAGACTAATATTTTGAACTAAAAAAAAATTTTTTTTTAAAGAAAATGCTCGTAAATAAAGCTATTTTAAAAGTGTGGGGGAGGTGTGGTGGCCAGGAGTTTGAGACTGTGAGCGTGAACAACACATTAAGTTCCAGGCCAGTCCGGGGCAGTTATAGATTCCGTCTCAACGAGAAGAATGGAAAAGTACATTTTCCTTTACACTTCCAAGTCTAGTATTTGAGCTAAGTGGGTTTGTGTGGAAACTGGACGTGAACTAGGGTCCGGAAGCCTGTGAGAACGAAGCGCTCTGCATCCATGGCAGTTTCATGGCTACTACAACAGGCAAAGTTCGGAAGCCAGTCTTGCAGTAGCAGCAACACGGCTGCCCTCTAGCAGGCGCTTAGGGAAGCGCGGGAAAGAAGGCAGAGGAGTCTTGTAATTCTTTTTGAACTCTCACGCGTGGAAAAGAGGTTTTGTGGTTTTCCAAAAATTGCACCAAGGTAAAGCAGAGCTCTAACCGATGCAGGTGTGTTGTCAGGCGTTAGCAGTACTGCCCTCACTATGCGTTCATTGGACAGTAGCGCAACCCCAAGAAAAGGATGGTTGCCTGCAACCACGCGCTCCCCGCAGCCAGTAAATTCCAAACCCGGATTGGGTTGCGGTGACCACCGCGTGCGGCCTTCCCCAGCCCGCGCGGTGGCCAGTATTTTCTACAAGTGCAGCTTCTGATGCCGATCACTCTCTCTGCTTTCCTGAAACCCCGAGGGGCTTTCAGACGCCTGCTCGGTTTTACCCAGAAGGCTGAGCGCCACACTTCTGAAAATTTGCATACACGCTTCTCTAGGCGGGGCCGGAGGAAGGCGCAGTACCTCAGCTGGTTAATTTGCATACGCTATTCTGGGGCGGGGCGGGGCGGAGCGGGGCGGGCCGGACCGGGCCGGGCCGGGATGGGGTTTCTGTGGGTTAGGCTGCTTCTTCTATTCAATGGACTTCGTCCAGGCGACTTTTTCTTCCAAACTGTAACCGGTTTTTCCGTGCCGAGCATCCTTTCCAGAGCAGCCAGCTCAGTCTTCCTAGTCATTAGGCGCCCCGGGCTCTGGGACCGTGAGGACCTGATGTGCCAGCGCTACCTCGCAGCACCGCTGACGCTGTGCCTGTTTCCCGTTGCAGGTGGTTCTACTGGGCATGGACATCCTGTCTGCACTGGTGACAAGGCTGCAGGACCGGTTCAAGGCGCAAATTGGCACAGGTAAGCCGCGACCAGCAGGACTCACCCACATCACACCTTCACTGCCTCTGAACTGGCACCTTTCCCTCTAATCCCGAAATGTTCCTTCCTGCTCTGACCTCGAATATGAAATATTATTACCAATTAAGGACTTTATGCAAGATTAGCCATCAGACTTAATGCCAACCAGTACGTGTCCCCAGCCCCTCCTCTGAGAGGCGTTTTTTTTTTTTTTTTTTTGAAAAGTTCTACAAAAAAGGAGCCAGTTGGATTTTCTCACAGATTAAATTTTTTTTTTTTTTTTTTTTGAAAAGTTCTACAAAAAAGGAGCCAGTTGGATTTTCTCACAGATTAAATGTCACTAAATCAAGGTATTTCGTGGTGGCAGTGTAAACACTAAGCTTATATGACTGTATCTGTAGAAAATCTCCCCATTCCTTTTTCTTTTTCTTCTGTTTTGTGTGGGCAGTGGGTATAACCCATGGGCTCGGTGTGCCTGTCCAGCACGCTAACCACTGAGCCACAGTGTTAACTGGTATTTCCCAGATCTGTTTTCATTTAATCGTTTCCGTTTTGTTTTCCAGTGTTGCCAAGTCTAATAGACAGACTGGGTGATGCTAAGGACTCTGTGAGGGAGCAAGACCAAGCCCTGCTGCTAAAGATCATGGACCAAGCTGCTAACCCCCAGGTAGGACAAGAGAAGCACACCTGTGTGCACAGACAGTGTTTGTGCAACTCCCTGGGCTTAATTTTGATGGGTTGGAGATTATCTTAGTTAGGGTTTTTTGTTACTTTGACAAAACACCATGACCAAAAAGCAAGTCAGGGAAGAAAGGGTTTATTCTGCTTCCGCTTCCGCTGTGCTATTATTCATCATGGAAGGATGTCAGGACAGGAACTCAAACAGGACAGGCAGGATCCTGGAAGAGGAGCTGATGCGGGGACCACGGACAGGTGTTGGCTACTGGCTTGCTTCTCATAGCTTGCTCTGCCCACCTTCTTATAGAGCCCAGAACCACCAGCCAGGGCACTGCCCACCATGGGCTGGGCCCTCACGATTGATCACTAATTAAGAAAATGCCCTTCAGCTGGATTTCATGGCAGCGTTTTCTCTACTGAGACTCCTTCCTCTCTGATGACTCTGGCTTGTGTTACATAAACTAGTTCACATAAACTAGCCAGTACGTGATGAACATTCTGTTGGCCCACAGTCCCACCTCATGAGAGATTTAAATATATAACTAGCAAAATGTATCATTTGAATAAATTACTGGGTTTGACATGGGTATTGAGTGTTTGATTAATCTTTTGTGCCCTTCAGGTCATTTGAAGAGACTGGCTCCCGTTTTCTCTGGAGAGGGGCAGCTGGTGGTATCTGAGGAGCCAGTGGGCCTGGCTGGGGCCCTGGTTTCTATATGACAGTTAGCTGGGCTTGCTAGAATGGATGGACCCAGCCCTGTCTTCCAGGGTCCTACTGACCGTTGTTGGGGGATGCAGCTGGAGCAGCCAGCAGCGGTTTCCCAGGGGAGATAAAACAAAGATTAGGGTGAGCCTCAGTTAGGAGCTGTTCCTGACAGAAGGTGTGCGAGCCTGCTGTCGTTTGGGCTGCACTGTTCTCAGTTGTGATGTGGGGTAGTTATACCTCCTTATGGTGCGGGGAGGATCCGGTAGTGTGCATCGGTGCACTTGCTTTTCACACTTTAACTGGAAGTGGTTGATAAAATAATTCGCTTCAGTGGGATTGGGAGAGGACCCTGAGAATGGGACCAGTTTGGTTCCTGTTTGACTTCTTCCTTACCACGAAGGGCTGCAGCGTCCTGACCCTCTTCCTTACTGCGAAGCATCCTTACCCTCTCTCTTGTTTCTTGTCACTTGCAGTACGTGTGGGACAGGATGCTCGGAGGTTTCAAACACAAGAACTTCCGCACGAGAGAGGGCATCTGCCTCTGCCTTATTGCAACACTCAATGCGTAAGTCTGGGGTGAACCTACTAACTGTGCTTGGCCAAAGCTTCTTTTGTTTGTTTGATTTTTCAAGACAAGGTTTCTGTGTGTAACAGCTCTACAGTTTTGGCTGTCTTGGATCTTACTCTGTAGACCAGGCTGGCTTCGAACTCACAGAGATCCACTTGCTTCTTCCTCCCACGTGTGCACTGATACTATCCGGCTCTTTCTTCCTTCCTTCCTTCCTTCCTTCCTTCCTTCCTTCCTTCCTTCCTTCCTTCCTTCCGTCTTCAAGATAGGGTCTCGTGTATGTCTTGAACTTCTGATCCTCCTGCCTCCACTCTTCAAGAACTAGTATCACTGGTATAGGCCAAGCTGTGTCCTGCTTTATTTGGCTCTGGGGATGCTGAGTAACCATTTTAAAGTCTAAATTACATTTCCAGCTCCTTAAAGCTTTAAAAACAAGCCAAACCAAACCCACCACCACCCTCCACTCTTTCTTCTGAAGTAATTAGATCTACAGGTAGTTGTGAAGAAACGTACTGGGAAGTAACTCCTTCCCTCCACCTGCCCAGTGTAGGATGTCATACAGGATGTATGGGTGCTGCCTACAGAGCTCGCCCACATTGCCACAGCTGCACACAGGCCCCCACCTGTTTGAGGCCCCCACCTATTGCCATTTTACCACACATGATAGCCTGTGGCAGCCACTGATTTGGACTTTTATCTCTATGACCTCGTCACTTCAAACTGTTACACGAGTGGAGTGCAGTCTCGTATACCCTGTCAGGGTTGCAGTCTAGATCTCCACGTAGTTAAATTCCCTAGAGCTTGCACTGTATGCCACTGATGGAGATGATTCATTTTGTTTCAGTGCTGGGCACAGTCCTTTGGTATAGAATCTATCCTGTGGTATAGATTATATTGTATAGAATATATACTGCAGATGTAATCCAGTTTTAATTAGCCATTTATCAATTAACTAAAATGTGGTGGCTTGGGCCTCCTAGGAGTAAAATTGCTGCACATATGCATACAACTTTCTGCACAAGTGTAAATTTCAGTTCTCTGAGGTAGAGTACAATGGAAGGGCCATTTCCTAAGCCCGTTTTTTGTTTATTTTTTATTTATTATGTTTGGGAGTTTTGCCTGCATGTATGTCTATGCACCACGTGATTGCCTGGTGTCCTTGGAGGCCAGAAGAGAGTGTTAGATCCTCTGGAACTGGAGTACAGATGGTTGTGAGCAGCCGTGTGGGTGCTCGAGCCTTCTGGAAGAGTAGCCAGTGCTCTTAACCATTGAGCCATACCTTCACTTCCCAGCCCATTTCTAATTTTTAGAAGAAACTGCTGGAATTATTTCCGGAGCTGTCTGTGCTGTTTTGTGGCATGTATTCACAGAGCAGGTCTGGGGCATCGGCATCGGAGTGGCAAAATGGCTGGCAAGATGTTACATGATTAAGAGTGTTTGCTTCTTTCCAGGGGACCTGAGTTTGGTTCCCTGAACCCACATCAGGCGGCTCACAACTGCCTATGGATTTTGTTTCAGGGGACCTGGCATCTTCTTCTGGCACACAGACAGACAGACAGACAGACAGACAGACAGACAGACAGACATGCGCATAAATAAAAGTAAAGATGGAACTCAAGGAAAGGTGACAAACTCAAAGTTCCCCAGTAGAGCAATGCCTAGTCAGATGCCCTGCAGCCATCTTGTCACTGTCTTGTTACCAGCAGCTATCACAGAATGTCTGAAAGCACCCCTGCCCCAGATGACCCTGAAGAGTTTGGTTGGCAGAACAGGAAGTAGAGCTGCACAGCAGAGTGAGGGTCTGAGGCAAGCACAATGGCAAGGTGCAGGCCTGGTGTAGTCTCCAAGGCCAGGCCATGGAAGAGCTAAGAGCGTGGGCTCAGCCGCGGGCTCTGGGATGCTTTGGAGCCATTCTGAGTAGAATGGAGGGAACGTTGGTGTGCGGGGCTAATCCTGGGGGTGGAGAAGGGCAGGTGTGGGCGGGACATCTTCCCTTTGTTCTCACTCTTGCCTTTTCTTTCCAGCTCTGGGGCACAGACTCTAACACTAAGCAAGATTGTGCCACATATATGTAACTTACTGGGAGACCCCAACAGCCAGGTGAGTGGAAAGAAGACCAGCAGCCTGTGAAGGTGCATTGTGGTATCTGTGTGTGCCGCAGGTGGGCGGACTTACCTCTGGGGAGCTCTGACTCTGGTGTAAGAGATTAGCTATCCACTAGCATGTGTAAAACATCTCAGCTAATGTAGTGACCACTCTACCCTCTCCTGTACTGAGAAATCACAGGCATTGCTGGGCACCAAGTCATACTGTATAGTCTACCAGTTACAATGACCACAGAGGCTGGAGAGAAGGTTAAGAGTGTGTGTTGTTCCTGCAGTGGGTTCAATTTCTAGTCCCTCATGGTGGCTCACAACCACTCGTTACCCTGTGGTGCCCAGATATGCATAGGAATGAAACACTTATGCATAAAATAAAACGTATAAAATGAAACAAAGCAAAACCTAAAATGGCCTCAACAGTTTCAGAATAATTTTGGTGCTTTTGCCTTTCCTTCTCACCAGTGGGCCTTTAGCCTTGTTTCTGCAGAACTTCCTTATAGAAGTCCCATTTGGAGATGTCAGTGCCATTACATGGCACCTACTTGAGGTTGTCTGTCATTAAGCTGGCAGGTGATAGGGAATTGATGGTAGACCTGTGGGTGGCCTTGTATCTGTGTGCACTGAGGTTGAGAGACGGAGCAGGCTAGACACACCGTCCAGCATGACAGCACTCATCACTCACTGCCTGCTATCTGTTTGTGGAGAAACCCAAACAGCTACCCCAACAAGGCATGCACACAGAATAAGACAATTTCACAGGACTAGTCCACAGAACTAAGGCTGCTCACGGGGAAGGGAAGATAGCAGGGAAGGGAAGCTCACAGGGAAGGCAGGCTCACAGGGAAGGGAAGGGAAGCGTATAGGACTAGGCAGACTCATAGGGAAGGCAGGCTCACAGGGAAGGGAAGCTCACAGGGAAGGCAGGCTCACAGGGAAGGGAAGGGAAGCTCACAGGGAAGGCAGGCTCACAGGGAAGGAAAGCTCAGAGGGAAGGCAGGCTCCCAGGGAAGGGAAGGGAAGCTTATAGGACTAGGCAGACTCACAGGGAAGGGAAGGGAAGCTCACAGGGAAGGCAGACTCACAGGGAAGGGAAGCTCATAGGACTAGGCAGACTCACAGGACTAAGTAGGCTCAATGGGGAAGGCAGACTCACAGGTCTAGGTAGGGAAAATGCTAGGGGAAGCTCAGTTGGCAGGCACATAGCACACAATGTATTTCTCTAACTGGAGTGGGCATCATCTTCCAGATGATAGGAGAGACATCCCACAGTGGCTGTACCATGTGCGGCACCGTGATACGCAGCAGGACTCTGCAGAGCACCGTCCTTCTCCACAGCGGATGCTGAGGCATCACTGTGTGTTGGTCCTGGATGGTGTTTAGAGGAGAGATATGGAAGGACCACCTCACCCGCTCGGGACCCTATGCTGTGTGCTGTGGGAGTAGCATCACTGGTTCCTGCTCAGAAGCTCAGATCCCAGTTTAGAGATTTGAAAGTGATGTTTTTGTTCCCTGTGAAGCTATTCAGATGAGCCTCAAAGTTCTTCCAGCAGGGGAAGCTCAGTTAGCAAGCACAGCTCACAGGACCCAGAACTGCCCTGAACTGTGACAAGGTTGGGGGCCGTCTTCTCGCGTGGCACTGCTCCTTGACTCTGTGTCCCTTGTTCAGGTCACAGCTGATGCTACTATGGGAATCTCTCTAGGGTTTTGGCAAGGTCAGCACAGTCCCACATTCTGAACACATTAACTCAGTTGTTTTCATGTTCGATGTTAGAGATGACATTGAGTATCAGTTTGAAGAGACTATATCAGACTTTGAGCTACCTGGGCCAGCATAAAAAGCCTAGAGTAAAGACATGTCCTGGCCTTGCATAGCTGACCCTGTATACACCTTGCTCTTGAGCCTGCCTCCCTGTTAGGACAGTAGTGTGTTTGCTTCTGAATCTTTCTGGAAGTGCTTTGGAGATCGATTGTTCTTGGTCTCTGGTATCACTGTTGGGCCCAGCTTATTAAGAGTCTGCTTAGCCTGAGATGGGCATTGCATTTGCAGCAATCTCACACCTGTCACATCTACTGGGTTTTTGAGATACCCTAACTTTATTGTTTGCTTTGTTTTTCAAGACAGGGTTTCTCTGTGTAGCCTTGACTGTCCTGGAACTCATTCTGTAGTCCAGGCTGCCCTCAAACTCAGAGATCCACCTGCCGCTGCGTCCTAAGTGCTGGGATTAAAGGCGTGCATCACCACTGTCTTGCATGTATTGTTTTAAATATGTGAAATACTTTATTGTACTGGTGTCTTCACAGTATGGATGTACTTTGCACATATCTGATTAGAGAACACAGTGCTTCATAGTTCTTTACCCGAAGTCAAGCACTCCTGGGCTGGTTCTCAGTAGCAGCGATGCAGCGTAAACTTGAAGGAAAGTCCTTTAACGGGACCGTGTAGCTGCTCTAGATAGCTGTTAGAAAGACTGTACAAGTTTAAACAAAACTAGGAGGTGCCAGGTGCGATGGAACATTCTCAGAGTCTCAGCGCTTGGGAGGCAGAGACAGGTGGATCTCAGAGTTTAAGGATAGCCTGGTCTACATAGTGAGTTCCAGGTCAGCCAAACTGCACAGTGAGACTGTCTCAAAAACTAAAATTAGGAACACTTTCTGCTCTTACAGAGAACCCAAGCTTGGTTCCGGGCACTCATGTGGCATGGCAGCTCACAACTGTCCATGAATCCAGTCCTGGGTAATCAGTGCCTTATAGTGACCTCCAAGGGATCCAGGCACACACAAAATGCATATACATACATGCAAGCAAAGCATGGATACATATAAACTTTAAAAATTAAAAACAAAACAAGTGAGTTAAACTTTTTTTTAAAAAGATGGAAGTGTGAAGTTGTCTTAACAAACTAAACCTCAAATTACCTCTTTCTGCCCCAAATCTGATCAGTACTTGTACTATATGGCTCTAAGGTATAGCCTGTTACAGTAGTTTGGTCTATAGGCCTTTAATAAGAAAATGATTATTACTTCTTTATTTTCATTTATCTCCATTTCCTATCATGTGGAAAATGAGGCTGGTGCTTCAGGGCGACTTGCATTCCCTGTAGTAGACAGGATTTATCGGCTGAGGATTCTCTACTAAACACTGAAAACAATCCTCAGGGCTGTACATATAAAAATGTGCATTTTTATAACTAAAGAAATTTAGCATCAAATTGGTATTTAATGTTTGCTCCATAATGAGGCTCCCTAAGAAAACACATCCATCCTTGTCTCCTGATTTCACTGCCTGTGCTGCAGGTCCTTGTGTCTGGCCAGATGATGTACCTGCAGCTCGTGAGGGCCACAGTGCCTCCTGCCTTTGAGCAGCAGGGTCTTACTTGGACCCACACTTCTGGCTGGACTTGGCAATATCTCACTCTTCTGAGCACTGCCACGACTCCTCTCTTCCTCCTCTCCACCTTCTCTTTTTGTAGGTGTGTGCATGTGTGTGTGTGTGCGCGCGCACATGCGCGCGCGCGCATACTCATATGCTTGTGGAAGCCAGAGGACAACTTTGATATCATTCTTCAGGCCCTGTCCAACTTTTTTTGAGAGAGTCTCATTGCCTTAGAGTTCAGCATATAGGCTCTGCTAGATGATCATTGAGCCCCAGGATCCTTCTGTCCCTGCTTTTCCGGTGCTGAGATTTTAAGTATAAAAACCTGGCTTTTTAACATGAGTTCTAGGGGTCACTGGGTCCTTGTGCCCACAGGGCCAGCTTTTTACCCAGCAGCCCTGATCCTACCTTTCTATGATCTTTGGTTTTGAACATTGACCACATCCTGACTTCTATTTAAAGTAGCATTTGTGTTTAGTGTTAGCTTGTTTTAGTATTGTAAATCCCTTGGATGTGGGCCCTTACAGTACATTATTTCTCAGTTACTCTTCTTACACATGAAGCTGATGCTGTATGTGATCTACGTAGACACTGTCTTAGTTACCATGACCAAGGCAACTTATAAAAGAGTCTGTGTATGTAGGGATTACAGGTCCAAAAGGTTAGAATCCATGACCATCATGGCAGGGAGTGTGGCAGCATCAGGCATGGTGCTAGAGCTGAGACTCACATCTTGATCCATAAGGCAGAGAGAGAGTTACCTGGGGCTGGTGTAGGCTTTTGAATCCTCAGCCTACCCACAAGGGCACACCTCCTCCAACAAGGCCACATCCCTTAATCCTTGCCAGACTGTTGAACCAGCCCGTGGCGGGGGCTCTTCACACCACCGCACATCTGATGCTTTAGTTTAATGTGTTTTTGTTTGTTTGTTTGTTTGTTTGTTTTTTAAATTCTGTTTTCCTGATCACAATGTTAAAAAATAGGGAGGACTTGGGAGTCTGTATAAAAAGCTGGGGTCTTTTTCTACAATTTGGGTTTCTATGATTTGGGATTGTTTTATGAGTAAGATGTGCCCTTGCTCAGTCTGACCTGTCTGGGGATTTTATGTGCTGGTAGGCTGGTGTAAATTGGGGCAGCATGTAGACTGTTTAGCTTCTGTTTGGAGGAACTGGGGAGTGACATGAAGCACCTGTAAGATCTCTTCTTTTACGTCTAGGTTAGAGATGCAGCAATAAACAGTCTGGTGGAGATTTACAGACATGTAGGCGAACGTGTGCGGGCAGACCTCAGTAAGAAAGGGTTGCCACAGTCCCGGTGAGTGCTCGCTTTCTCTTTTTTACTTAAATTTTCTTAAATGTATTTATTTGTGTCTCTGTGTATGGGGTCCTTGTGCCATGTTGTCAGAGGACAACTTGCAGGCATAGTTCTGTGTGAGCACTGGGGATTGGACTCAGGTTATCAGTACTGACAGCAAGTGTCTTTCCCTGCTGGCCCTTAGCAATTTTTATTTAAACTTGTATTTATTCTGTATATGTTTGTTGGTAGTACTTTCTCTCCACCCCTTCCCCTGCTCATTTTCAGGTTTACTGTTGGTTCATGCTCCTATTTTTGATGTGGTAATTTTATTCAAAGAATGCATAGTTATGAGGCTGGTGGCTACAGAAGAGCCATCTCACCTGCACAGCGTGTACATGAGTACTGGGGATCCCAACTCTGGGCCTTATGTTCAGGGGCAACCCCTGTAACCACGGAGTCATCACCTCAGTCCTGGCACAACTTTTACATTGCATCCTTGAGGTTTGGGGTTTTATATCTTTATGTGTTTGTTTGTGCTGTTCTGACTGGCCTGGAACTCACCATGTAGACTAGGCTGGTCTATGCTTCTGTAGTGCTGGGATTAGAGGCCTACATCTGCCTGACTGAGCTTGAGGTTTTGAATACATGCTTCTTTTCCACACACACACACACACACACACACACACACACACACACACTTACTTGTGTGTATGAGAGAAGGTGAGGAATGGCAGAGATAGGCTGGTAGATACTGTGGAAGATGTGCACACATAGTATGCATGGGGTGTGCAGAGGACAGACTGCGGGAGTTGGTTCTCTTCTTCACCTTACTGGCGATCAAACTCAGGTTGTCAGACTTGCCAGCAGTCTCTGTTACTGCCTGAGCATCTCACCGGCCCCAATTAGAAACTTTGGTACCCTTGTTCAGGATGGAAGACTTAAGCTGAGCAAGAAAAGCTGCTTTTGGTGTTCGGATGAAGTTTGTTGATTGAGATTCTCAGGGTTTGTTTCTTGGAAATGACTTAAAATTTATATTTTACATTATTAAAAATGTCTAGCCAAGATTTAAACATAAATTTTATAGTACAATAAACTGGGTTAAATTTAATGTAAATATTTAAATTCAGTAAAACTAGGGCAAAATGATAGTGGTGATTTGTCAAACTAGTAAAGAAGTTATTTTCTCCTTTCTTGAGGGTAGTTTAATCAAGGCTACAGGTATGGTAATCTGTACTTTACCACCAAGGCATACCACAAACCACAAGATGTTAAATTGAAATCTAAAGATTAGAAAAATAAAACCATTTGATAGCTTCCTAGGTGAGGTCCATGTGACTTGTCAACTTGACCCAGCCTGGAATCATCTGGGGACAGGTGTCTGCATTGGCTTGGCCTGTGAGATATTTTTTTTTAATAAGTTTACTTTTTGTGGGTGTCGCTATTCCTTATGCCTGGGAATCCTGAGCTGTGTAAGCGTGGAGCAATCCAGCTGAGCACAAGCGAGCACACAGTCATCGCTTCTCTCTGGCCTTGACTGGATGGGACTGAGACCCTGATGCCCTCAAGTCCCTGCTGTGATGAGCAGTACCTGGAGCTGTGAGCTAGAATAAAGTCTTTCTCTCCTGAGCTGCTTCTCGTCAGGGTGTTTTATCTCCACATCAGAAGTGGGGCTAGGATAAACCTGGAACTCTCCTGTCTGTATTTGTGCCTGTTGATGTTTTCCATGAGAGGCTTCTTCAGTTGCTGTGTTTGAAGCTCATGAATGTAGTCAGTACTTCATGCCCGAGGTGGGCTCTGTTGGTGTCAGCCAGGTTGCAGGTCTCTAAGGTGTAACCATAAGAGGCACCGCTGAGCAAAGAGTGAGGGAGTTAGTTAACTCGGAATGTGACAGTGATGTGGAGGGCATGCTGCCCGGGAGCATTCCAAGTGGAGACAGGTACCAGGAATGGTGGTGTTTCTGTGGATGTTGTCCTACATGGTTGTTAAGGCCACCACAGTGTGTAGACCTCACCCCTTGGAGAGATCTTACAGTACTGTTTTCACAAGTGCCATTGGTAACTGGGACTGTCCCAGGAACGTAATACTTGCTCTCCTTCAGAAACTTCAGAGACAACCAGATGAAAGGGATACCTCTGCCCTAACTTGTAAACCTGCTGGCATGTTTCTGTCATGGCAGAGGGTGTGGTTGTGACACAATAAAGTGGTACCCAAGTCAGGGCACACCCTGGCAACCTGCGCAGTGAGCCTGTTTATGGGCTTGTCCATCCACTCAAGATCTTTGTTGCTTTAAAAGGGAAGGTGATGGAAACATCTTGCGAGCTGACATTAAGCCATCTTTCCAGATTTTTGGTAGCCACTGGATTTGAATGTGAGTTACAGTGTTACTCCTGTCTGACCCCGAGTTGGCAATTGGGCTTTTATTTCCATCTCCACTTTGATTTGTGGATAGTGGTGGTTGGGAGTAAATTTGGAAAGGATTCTGAAGCTGTATTTGGCCCTGGGAGCCTTGAAAAGATTATCGATCTTCCCTGTGCGATGGGAGGGGTGAGGCACTGTAAAAGGCAGGTTCTCCCCTTCCTTTGCCAGTGGTGTTCTTGGCTTGCCTGTTGCTTCGGCTTTAAGCGTTAGAGGGAAGCAGCCTTCCCGTTCATCGTCCAGTCAGCTCCGAGCGAGGCATGGGATGGGCCTGCGAGCGCCTGTTGTGTGATTGAGTAAGTGAATGAACTTAAGTCCAGAAGATGAGACACATTCAGTGCTGCAGAGAAGGCCGAAGCCTGCCTCTGTGATACTATGATGTGACTCTCACAGGTGACCCTCTGCCTTGTCACCAAGAGAACATGGTTTCCATCTTAGCCTCCAAGGAGTTTGCATTCTGGTTAAGAAAAGACGTGCGTGTGAAATGGCTGCTCTCAAAGGCAGGGTGGGAGGGCAGGAGAGCACTGTGACTAGCCTGTCCCAGAAGTGGGCGGCTGTGTGAATACAGAGTGCGCTGCTTTGAAGCGTCAGTGTTCGTCTCACAGCCGAGAGTGAGCGAGCGCTTTTGCTTGGGAAGCCTCTGTGCTTTGCTTAGAGGTGATGCCACATCGCTGATCTTTTCTCTTGGTTTTGGTGCCAGCTAGGGTAGAGGGTTTTGACGCACCAGCAGTTTTGCTTACATTTAAATGCCAAGGTGGGATGATCCGTTATTAGAAGTGCCATGTAGATCTCTTAAGCTGAAGCGGGTTCAGTCGCATTTGTTTTTAGGAGTTATTTATAACATTCGGAGTTAAGTACAAGTCGGAGAAAGCCTGTAGTGTGAAAGACTTTATCCAAAGTAACTGGCAGTCTGCTTCAAAAGAAGGAGGAGAAATATGAACTTTTAAAACAAACTAAAAAAAGTTTTCGTGTGTGTGTGTGTGTGTGTGTGTGTGTGTGTGTGTGTGTAGCACATAGGGTGTCCTGCTCTGCCACTGTCACTCACCTTATTCCCTTTGAGATAGCTTTCTCACTGAATTCCAAGCTAGGCTGGTGGCCGTGAGACCCAGTGATCCTCCTGTTTCTCACCCCTCGCAGTGTTGTGGTTACAGGTGTGTGCATGGCCGCAATCAGTTTTTAACATTGGTCCTGGGGATTTGAACTCAGGTTCTCATGCTTGTGCAGCAAGCTCTGTTACCCATAGAGTCCCAGGTGCGATCTTTTAGACTGAGTCTTAAACCAGTGATGGAGCCATTCTAGGTGTTGAATTTTTGCTGGCTATTATCTGTTACTGAGGGAGCTATTATTCTTACTGACTTTTTTTTTTTAAATAATTGATTATTTTGGTTGTGGGGGCTGATGGTTTGTTTTAACTTGATACAACTCAGGATCACCTGAGCATCTTAAGGAGAACCCATCTGCATTGGCGTGGCCTATACATGCCATGTAGGCTTGTCTTCACTATGTTAGTGAGAAACCCTGCTCATTGTGGGCAGCCCAGCTCCCTTGGGTAGGGTCCATATGAGTGTGAGCTGATTGGAAACATGTGTGCATTCATTCTCCTCTTGACTGTGGGTGACAACCGCTTCAGGTTGACTTCTCCAGAGGGATGGACTGTAACCTGGTGTTGTGGGCTGAAATCCACCCTTTCTCTCCTTGCTTGCTTTTCTCAGGGTATTTGATCACAGCAGCAGAAATAAAACTAAGGTGTCGGAGCAGTCAACTTAATAGTGTTTGTTAATCATAAATGGTGATGATTGATATTCCATATATATATTTTTTGTTTTCAAACAGGTTGAATGTCATTTTTACAAAATTTGATGAAGTCCAAAAGTCTGGAACTATGATACAGTCTGCAAATGGTGAGTGGGGAACCAGTCTCCATTTCTGCATCTTCAGTTGCTTGGCGATAATGCTTTTGCTGTTTCTGAACAGATACTAGATGTTTCAATATGGTTTTACAGGTCTTAAAAGTTAGGTTTCTCCATCTACTTTGTCAGGCCAGTGGGCTTACTGCTGGCTCTGTTTCAGACCCCCATTGACTCCATTAGATGGTCCGTTCTCCTCCTCATTCTGCTGACTTGCTGGAGCAGACCTGGTGACGCTTTGCCTGGGCTGTCCTGAGTGCATCAGGGCGTTTGTCCCCTCTTCCTCCCCCATGTCTGTCGTCTGTGTTCATTTAGCATCCAGACTGATTTCTGTTAGAATGCAAATAAGGTGTTATTGAACACCCATTCTTACTCATAACCAGACTGCAGTTTTGTGGTCCCCAGGCCTGGTAATGTGGCCTAGGCTCCTATTCTGATGTCATTCTTTCTTTTTGAAAGTTCTCTCTGCTCCTGCCATGCTGGCCACTGCTAGATTAGAACATTCTGAGTATTTCTGTGCTTATGGCTTCCACTTGCTGAAATACTGGTCCCCGCTATCACTATGGCCTCTTCTTCTGATGTGTATGGTATGGAGATGATCTGCTTTAGGAGCTCTGTTGTCTGTTCTAAATGTTCTTCTTAAAGGTACAGCAGCCAAGGAAAAGAATAAATAGTTAAACATCCTAAAGCAGGTCCTGAGAACATCCAGCTAAAGAAAGCTTGGTAAGGAGGCCCCTTTGTGACAGGCACCTGAAGAGAGAATCCCAGGCAGAGAGAGGTCCTCTTGGGTGAGGTTTCCAAGTAACAGACAAATAGCATCAGATAGAGCTGGCATCATCAAATTGGGTGCTCACAGTGTTCATAGAACCTGACCGGGGAGGTCGAGGCAGTCAGCCGGACTTTCCAATAGAACTGCTGTCCGTGGCTGAGCTTCCCGTGGCTGAACTTCCGCTGCAGGCTCTCTATATCATGGGATGAGCAGTACCCTCTGGTGCAAACAGCTTACCTTCTGTTTTCAGGGGTGCATTGTTTTACTTTTGGGCTATTTCATTCTCTTCCTGCCCTGTCACAGTGCCAGTGGAGCCAGCCGAGCCCTAGAAAGGGGGTCTTGGAAGACTGTTGGCATAAACATGCTTGGGCCTGAAGTTGGGGTGCCAGCCTTACTTGCAGAGCCAGCTTCTCAGTAAACTCAAATAGCACAGGACAATTTAACAATGGGATGTATGGTTCCCCTTCACCCATCCTGATCTTACAGCAGAAGCTACCTGGAGCACTGTGGTCTGGGACTTTCTGAGTCCTCTGCCCTACTCTGTTTCATACACTCGTCATCTTTCTTTCTCCACAGAACCAACTAGGACGGACACACTCACACACACTCACACTCACTCACACACACTCACACACAACTCTGCTGGCCGTTCATTCCTGGATGGCTTTCATTCGTACAGTAATTTTCTTTTCCCTTTCTTGGGAAAGCTGACCAGTGTAAATAGCAATGTGGAAAGGAATAATAAACTTACTTTCAAGACATTTGCAGGAACTCTTGTGAGAAAGAGAAGCCTGGCTCCCGAGCCCTTTGCTGACTCAGAGAATAAACTTCAAGCAGGAAAGAACACATGGCTCCTAACTGCTAACGGACTATCATCTGTCTTGCTTGTGTGTTCCATCATCCCTACTAGAGTGCGGAGACCCTAACAGCCAGGGAAGCTTTCACACCGTCTGTCTCTGTGGTTTCGCCATCACGGCTGTTCTGTACAAATGGAATCATGCACTGTCAGGCTTTCTGTTGCCCTTCTTGCCCAGCACAGCCGGTTCAGAGTTTACCCAATAGGTACCATCTATCCATGCTAGATTCTGGTTTGTGGTTTGTTTTTGTGAGACGGACTACTGCTATGTAGCACCGTCCTGGAACTTTACTGGACAGGCTTGAGCTCACAGGAATTCCCCTTACCTCTGCTTCCCAGTGCTGGGTTAAAGGCGTGCACTGTCCTTCTTTTACCGTGGCCCGACTACCTCAGCTGACTCTAAGAGTCTTTCCAGTGATCAGTGCCATTTCCGTTCCTGATTTGAAAACTTACTGTCCGGTAGTCAGTGTGAGGACTTGGCAAGTGCTCTCCTGTGAGTGTGACTGGAACACGAGTGCCCATGTCCCCAGTAGGAAGTGCAGCCAGTGTTGAGGGACGTCCAGCAGGTAGCTGAGATGTGTAAATATCCTTTCTGTGTGTCCTCTCACCCACTCTTTAGCTTTGAAGCCTGGGCAAGCAAGTAAACTCTTGAAACTGTTTGCTTATTTACAAAATGAAGCACCCTGTGAAGTTTGCAGAATAGTGAGGTAATGTGTAGAACCCTTAGCACGGTGCCCAGATGGAGCTGGTGCAGCCCACAGTGATCCCCCATCTCTTCACTCTCTCCTTCCTTCCTTCCTTCCTTCCTTCCTTCCTTCCTTCCTTCCTACCTACCTACCTACCTACCTACCTACCTACCTACATAAAAAAGATACCACTAGAAAGTAAATTCACATGTGTGATTTTTAAAAAAAAGTTTTCAAGTTGTTGGAATATGCGTTAAATTTCCCCCCGAAAGCACTGCTCTTGTTTATATGGAGCTCTAGCCTGTTGAGTGCTAGGAGGAGCAGGAGAGGCTCCCTTTCCAGTCCAGGCCCTCTGTAGTGTTGTAGGTGGCGTCATGGAGTCCATATACTAGTGATAATGTTTAGTCTTTCTCTGCTAAAGCAGCAAAGTAAATGTCATTCTCGGCTTCTGTAAGAATCCAGAATTTGGGATTTCATCTGTTGCTGCTCCAGCTCCTGTTCGTGAAGGATTGAAATCACGTGATAGAACAGTAGAGGACGTGGAAGTGCTGAAGTGCCTGTCACCTGAGGACATTGTTCTTTATCTGTGCTAACTGCAATCGCCCAGTGGTGGCCTATCAGCCTTCAGGGTATAGCTAGCAATTCTTCTACACAGTGCACACAGGAATCTCACAGGAGCTGTCTCTGTTTCTAATCAGCTGCCTCATAGTTGCCCTCTACCTGGGATCTGCTGCCAGCTGCCATTGCAGCCAGTGTTTTCCTTATCTTGAACAAGTGAGTCACTGTGCTGGAATCCAGTGGTGTGGCCCCCACTTTACCCTGTGTGATCTCTACTGATGTAAGGTGACCCCTGCCTGTGTGGGAGAGTCAGCTCTCTGGCCGTGGTAACATGGCAGTCAGAACTGGCGCTGGGGTCACCGGGCATGTGCTGCACCTTCCTCTCCGAGCACCTGCCACGCTGAATGACACATACCAGGCACTCGGCTGGAGGTCGGTACTGCCCTGGAGCCAGTGCTCTCCTTTCACTGGAGCCCAGGGTCGAGCTCCAGTTTCCAGGCTTGGCAGCAAACACCTGCTGAGCCACCTCACTCACCCCTTGGTCATTTTTAAACTCTGTATGTCTTCATGATTGAGCTATGTGAATTTTTTCTATACTTCTGGATCATAAGAGTCATAGCTCATAAGTAATTTGCAGCTATTCCCCTCCATTCTGTGGGTTGTCCCTTTCTTATGTCTTGGTATCTAAAAATTTAAAATTTGGTGAAGTGATTCATCTTTTTCTTTTCCTTTTGTTACATGTGAACAGTGGTGCTATTTCAGTCAGAAAATGAAGCTCTAAATTAGCACTCACTTGGACAAACTTTTCTTTTAAAAGCATTAATTATGTAACTTTTAGACAATTTTATGCATGTAGATGGTCAATTGTGGTCTTATCTACCCCATTGACCTCTTTTACCCTTCTTTCTGCTGGACCTTTCTTCCTGTCTAGCCCCCTCCTACTTTAATGTCTCTTTTTCATTAATACTTACTTTTACCAAACCTACTAATGTTAAGGGCAATACCTCTAAGGAAGAGAATGCTCATCTGAGATTGTTTCTTGATGTGCTTAAAAGTGTACCCTTTTGAGCCACTGAGTGTGACATGATTGTGACTGAAATTAGCAGTAGAGAAATAGCCAAGGAACAGAATGCTTCATCTGTATAGGATTCCTCCTTGTTGCTAGGCTACCCAAGGGCTTTCAGCTTTGTCTGGCAAAAAAATATGGGCGTTAAAAATATGTTGTTGTATAGATGCTTCTTTTTCTTTTCTCCATCTCCATATAATTAGCAAACCCCTTGAAGAACAAATTACAGTTTTCCCTTCTATGGTTTTCAAAAAGCAAATTATTTTCTGTGTAAGTTTTTCTTTTTAATCAAGCAGATGTGCTATGGTTATAGGAGATTTGACTCGGCGAGAAGGAGCGTTAATTACGGACTAAGCAGTGTCCTTTATCTACAGCTCTTAACAGTCTTCAATTACATTTGATTGACATGAGGCCATTTGGTTAGAAAATTCAGGTGGTGTTGTTTCCTAAGAAAAGCTAACACGTCGATGCGGGCATCTGGAAAGCATCGTGTTGATTAAATGCCTGGAAATGCCATAATCTGTAGCTAAAGGAAAGGATATAGTATTTGGAGGTAAAACCACACACTAAGTTACAGATAGTGATAAAACTTACTTGTTTCACACACAACACACCTAGGTATCGTTCTGCTGCCTTCCTTACATTTTTACAGTTGAAAGTAACTTGCAGAATGTTACCTAATTCAGCTTTGTTGGAGGTGAGAACTCTCGTGAGCCTGAAAACAGACACTGCTAAGCTCGTTAGGTGAGGGTGTTGCCAGGTGTGGCGAGAACAAGGCTCCATTTAAAGGCGGGCCTTGATTAGGCAGCCAGCCCTCCTGTCAGCTCGGCTCCAGTGGCAGTGGCGCTGCCCGGGTGGCTCAGCTGGATAATGGTCCCATTCTGCCCTGCCATTTCTTAGACTGTGCACCTTGCAGGTTTGGAGAGGTCAGAGTCGCAGGAAAGTGTTTCCACACTCACACGTGCGAGTAATGTGCTAGCCGACTGGCAAGTGTGTTGAACTGTGCTGAGGAGAAGCCCGCTCAAAAAGCCCTGAAGAGATGCCTGAGCAGCTTCAGCA